TAATAAATTAAATGTATAAATGTAAATAAAATATAAACTAGTTGGTAGTGTTATTTTGCCTTGAACTTCCCGATATGTGTAAATAATCGACTTCAATCAATAAAAAAATATTAATTTATGAGTGATTAAAAGTATTCCGAGTGGATTTATTACACATCATTGAAAACGAACGAAGATGTTAACTCGGAGTATTTTCTAAAAGCTAATTTTCAAAAATCAATAATTTTTATAATTGAACCAGTTTCCATAGGACTTAATGGTTTAGTATGTTCATTAAGACCAAGTACTCTACCGTTATACCAAGTAAATCGTCTAATTTTCATTTTAACAAACGTCAAAAAAACTACTCATTTTCTCAAACTTTGATGAATTTTTAAAGTTAAACTACTTGTCGTAAGGCCGTAATATTTTAGTAAGTTCTGTAAGCCCATGATATATATCGCCAAAAAAAGTTCCATGAAAATCGGATTAATTTTTTCTTTCAACAGTGAATTACAAGAAAACGGATCGGTAGATTTTCACCTAAAACTAATCAGTATCATTCCCAACTAATATCTTTCAAACAGTTTTTGATTTTTTAAAATTGATTCGGTAGAATGAGCTTAAATGTGGACGAAAAGTTTAACACTTTTTTTTAATTATAAAGAAACGGTGAAGCCGATCATCGCACAAACGATAGATCTCATCGAGATACGTCGAATGGCTTTTAAATTTTTGAAATCGGTCCAGCCGTTTCTGAGAAAACGTCGATTTACGGTGAAAAATTTGTTCACGCACATACACACACACACTTATACTTTTTCCAAATTTGGTCTCATTCGATTCAGAATGGCTTGAAACGTCAGGAAAACATAAAATTAGCGAATCGGATTTTTTGACGAGAACAAACTTCTCCTTCGGCCATAATTAACTTCCCGAAGTTTATGTTTTCATCAGTTTATGTTTCTCGACGTTTCAAGCCATTCTGAATCGAATGAGACCAAATTTGGAAAAAGTATGTGTGTGTGTGTGCGTGTGCGCAAACAAATTTTTTGCCGTAAATCGACGATTTCTCAAAAACGGCTGCACCGATTTCAAAAATTTAAAAGCCATTCGATGTATCTCAATGAGCACTATAGTTTGTCATTATGAGACGATCTGCCGAGCTTAAACTTTTAAAACTTTTTGTTAAACTTTTCGTCCACATTTAAGCTTATTCTACCGAATCGATTTTAGTAAATCAAAAACTGTTCGAAAGGTATTTGTTAGGAATGATACTGATTAGTTTTAGGTAAAAATCTACCGAGCCGTTTTCTTGTAATTAACTGTTGAAAAAAAAATTTAAGCCGATTTTTATGAAACTTTCTTTGGCGATGTATATCATGGTCTTATAGAACTTACTGTAATATTACGGCCTTACAACAAGTAGTTTAATTTTAAAAATTCATCAAAGTTTGAGAAAATGAGTAGTTTTTTTGACGTTAGCTAAAATTAAAAAAATTAAACGATTTACTTGGTGTAACAATATAGTACATACTAAACCATTAAAATCCTACGGAAACTGGTTCAAATATAATAATTGTTGATTTTTGAAAAGTTGCTTTTTGAAAATACTTCGAGTTAACGTGTTCGTTCGTTTTCAATTATGTGTAATAAATCCACTCATAAATTAATTTATTTTTTATAGATTAAGTCAATTATTCACACATATCGGGGAGTTCATGTAACTTGCCTCAAGGCTAAATACCAATACCAACTTAGTTTAAATTTACAAATAACTTCATAAGCTAAATACATCTCAAATTAATAATCATGTGTACATACATAGATAAAAGAAGAGTATTCTTCTCATTATTTCCATTACCATCCCATTTCTCTTGTAACAGATCGTTAAAATCTCTCTTCCGCGTTTAAGTAAATATTTTTCCAACTATTTAACATTCTGTTATTTGTGTTTTAATTAAATATTAGCATCGTGTCGCCTTTTTGTTTACAAGAGAGTACGAGAATAAATAAAACTTAGGCCCACTTACCTACTTTTTACACTTGCTCTATTTGTATTGACGAGTAACGACTCGCGCTTTAATAAAAATCCGTTAAACCGTTAATCCGTTAGAAAGTTTATTTTTGAAATTAGAAAATGTAACGTATTTTGTAAAATAAGTAAATAAAACTAGTGGGGTGCATCGCATCGTACCTTAAGGCAAATTGCTGGAACTTCCCGTACTAAAAATTATTTTTTTTAAAAAGATTAACATTTTTGAAAAAAATTTACTTTGAAAAAAAATAGTTTTTGAGAAACTATAAATTTTGACAAAAATTTACTTTTTTTCAAAAAGACTTTTTGATGAAAAGTGCATTTTGAAATATTTTGGAAATTCTGAACTTTTTTCAAAGCAATCGTACTGCTTTAACTGCATAGAGACGTAATATCGAAGCGCGTAAGCGCCGCGCCGCCGTCTAACGGCGGATAAGCATCGGATAAGCATTGGTACGGAACCCATAGGAATGTAAACAAAACTTATACTTATTGTTAAAATCTCTATAAAATATCTGATAATTTGATGTGCATATGTCTAATGATCATTTTTGACCGCCAAATGGCATTTTTTTATTTTTTTCACTAAATCTCCAAAAGCGCTAGACCTGCCCTCATGAAAATTTGATCAAATTTTCATCTTGTCAATACAAGTAAAATGTTTTTTGAACTATTAAAATCGGACGCTCCGTTCTCTTAAAAACTGAGTTACCTTTTTTGGCACTTTTTGCCCCGTATCTTCGGAACGGCTAGACCTGCCTTCGCCAAAAACTAATCAGCACGTCTCCTTATCAACAGCAATCGAATGATTTTTAAATAATCGAAATCGTCGATGAAAATTTGTATCCGCACACACACACATACATCCATCAATTTTTCCAAGGTATGCCAAAATGTTCAGAAGGTTCTGAAACGTAAAGATATATAACAAATTTCATTTCTATTATTTTACTTTAAATGTCGAAACCACTAGGTGTAAGTGGCACTTTGCCTTAAAAAAAGTTAAAATCGACTTAAGGAGGCGTCCGTTAATCACGTGAGATTTTTAAGAGGGGGGGAAAGGGTTGACAAGAAATCACGAAATATCACGTGGGGGAGGGAGAGGTAAAGTGAAATATTACGTGTATTTATTTTTTATCTGAATTTTTAATAAAATCCAAACATTTTCAAAAAAAAAAACTTGTGTATGACAAAGTGCCTTAAGGCAAATTGCTGGAACTGAAACCCGTACCGTAACGAAATGTTCGAGAAATAGTAAACGTTTTCATAAAGATTATTATAAATACTGTAACATTGTCTAATATTTATAGGAGTTATATAAACTGAATTGCAAATTTAAAATTATTTATTTAAATAAAGTATTTAAGTAAGCTTTAGAACTTTAGCCAGAATTAAAATTAAAATTAGAATTATTATCGGTATACAAAAAAAGCAATTATTTTGTCAAAACAAGCATAAAATTTCTTGAATCATTCAAATCGGATGCTTAGTTCAACAAAAACAGCATTTTTTTACACATTTAGCTCGGTATATCCGAAACGGATGGACCTGCCTTTGCCAAAAACTGATCACCTCTTCTCCCAATCATTACAAATTGAATGTTTTTTAGATCATTCCAATCGGATTCTCCGTTCTCTCAAAAACTCAGTTTCTATTTTCAGCACTTTTTGCTCCGTATCTCCAAAACGGCTGGACCTGCCTTTGCCAAAAACTAATCAGCACATCTCCCTATCAATAGGAATCGAATGTTTCTTGAACCATATAAATTGGTTGATCCGTGCGCCCGAAAACGTGGACGAAAAAATGCGGACATACAAAACACACACACACATCCATTTTTTCTGAGGTATGACAAAATGTTCAGAAACCTTCAAAATGTCGAGAAATGCAAAAATTTTCATTTTCGATTTTCGGCCCATTACTACATATATAACTACCCTACGGGAAGTTAACAAACCTTATCTCATATTTCTAAAAAATATATTAAATGAATTGCAAAGTTTAAGTTATTCATCTCAAGTATTTAAGTGCGCTTTGGAGTTTCAGCTAAAATTAAAATTAAAATCCGTATTATTTCCGATATTCAAAAAAAAAATCTTTTTGTTAATACAAGCAAAGGTTTTTTGAATCATTCAAATCGGATGCTTCGTTCTCTAAAAAACTGTCACTTTTTGCATATTTAGCTTAGTATCTTCGAAACGGCTGGACCTGCCTTTTGAACTCTTCTCTCTTGGTAACTTCCCGTAGGATAAGTTATAGTAATCGTAAAATAATCGAAAATGAAAATTTTTATATATCTTTACGTTTCAGATATTTTTGAACATTTTGGCGTACCTTAGAAAAAAATCATGTGTGTGTGTGTATGTGTGTGCGGATAGAAATTTTCGTAGACGATTTCAGGAACAACCGATTTCGATTATTCAAAAAAACATTCGATTCCTATTGATAAGAAGACGTGCTGATTAGTTTTGACCAAAAGCAGTTCTAGCCGTTTCGAAAATACGGGGCAAAAAGTGCCAAAAACGGTAATTCAGTTTATAAGAGAACGAAGCGCCCGATTTCAATACTTAAAAAACATTTTACTTGTATTAACAAGATGAAGAACTGATCAAATTTTTGGGAAGTCAGGTATAGCGGTTTGGGAGAACTAGTAAAAATAGTAAAAAATGCCATTTTGGGGTCAAAAATAATCATTAGACATACGTACATCAAATTATCTGATAATTCATGGAGATTTCAATAATGTGTATCAATTTTGTTTACATTTCTATGGGTTTCGTAACATCGTTTGTCCGTTAGACAGCGACGCGGCGCTTACGCGCTTCGATTTTTTGTCTCTAAGCAGCTAAAGCAGTGCAATTGCTTTGAAAAAAGTTCAAAATTCAAATAATATAAATGTCTATAAATAGTGTTAAATTTATAACTATAAATATAAAATACGTTTTATTGTTTTTTCAGATTTAATAAAAAAAAATCCATAAAAATGCGTTATTTAATATTACCAATATTATTTGTGTGCCTGGCAACGACATTTGCCCAAATTCCACAACTAGGATTTTGTCCAGATGTGAAACCCATGCAGGATTTCGACATGGAAGCATTTTTAGGAGACTGGTAAGTACTTATTGATAATTATTTATATACTTATAATGGGTACTACTGCCCTCCTGGGCAGTTTGGGCAACAAGTTAATTCAGGGAAGAATAGTGTGAGAGATTTCCTATTGCCTTTTTACACTAGAAACATATTTTTGATACATATTTTCAAGTGAAAATTAATATTACTACTGCATGAGTTGTCCAGAGCGAAGGTTCGAACTTACGACCCCGTCTCATAGACCTAACACTACATAGACTGCTAGTCCTTATATGTTCTCCTTTTTATAAAGTGTCAAAAAAGATAATAGGGGACTGTGACGTTACTTAGTGAACAAGCATTGACGACAATGGTGGAACACTCTCGAACGTTTTCACTCTTTCATTTTGGCAATGATTGTTCTTTCCAGTACATTGGACAAGCCTCCCAATATGTAGACAAAAGAATGAGGCAACATGAATTAGGTGTGGTTCACCATAAACAGAAAAACTTCAAAAATATCCTTGTTCAGCATTCACTTGGAAATATAGATGACAGTAATAAATTTATTAACTTCCCGTAGGGTAAGTTATTGTAATGGGCCGAAAATCGGATCTGAAAATTTTTACATTTCTCGACGTTTTGAAGGTTTCTGAGCATTTTGGCATACCTCAGAAAAACTGGATGTGTGTGTGTGTATGTATAGATACAAATTTCCAGTCACGTTTTCGGGCGCACGGAGCAACCGATTTGAATGGTTCAAAAAACATTCGATTCCTATTCATAGGGAGAAAAGCTGATTAGTTTTTGGCAAAGGCAGGTCCAGCCGTTTCGGAGATACGGAGCAAAGAATGCAGAAGATAGAAATCGACTTTTTGAGAGTATCCGATTTGAATGATCTAAAAAACATTCAATTAGTAATGATTGGGAAAAGTGTTTATTAGTTTGTGGCAAAGGCAGGCCCAGCCATTTCGAAGATACAGAGCTAAATATGTAAAAAATGGCAGTTTTTGAGAGAACTAAACGTCCGATTTAAAAGATTCAAAGAACTTTCTGCTTGTCTTAACAAAATAATTGATTTTGGAAAAAAAATTTTGTTCCAACTTTTTTTTTTTTAATTTCTTGTATATCGAAAATAATTCAGATTTTATTTTTAATTCTGACTATAGTTCTAATATACTTTACAAATAATTTCAACTTTGCAATTCAGTTTATATATTTCTTATAAATATTAGACAATGTTACAATATTTATAATAATCTATTTGAAAACATTCAGTATTCCTCGAACATTTTGTTACGGTACGGGAAGTTCCAGCAATTTGCCTTAAGGCACAATGCCATAATTGCCTCAAGACAGAATTTCACTTACAGCTAGTTTTTATTTTATAATCGTTTGGGTTGCCAATTCTTTCAATTATTGATTAAACCTTGCTATTAAAAGTACATATTATTTTTATTAATTATTATATTTTAATTGTTATTATTTTTTGCAGGTTTGAAACGGAAAGATACTTCACAGTATCAGAATTGGGAAGACGTTGCGTCTTTTCAAACTACGAAAGACGTCCTGATGGATCTATCCGAGTTTCGAACCAAATGACAAATGCTTTGTAAGTGCCATAGATAAACAAGTATGAATAGATCGCAAACACAGCCGTTTTGATTTTACCTCAATTTTATTTTCTTCAGCGTATGTATCATAGAGGTCGCCACCAACTGTAGCACGTAAATTTACCCTTAGGTTTAATTCTAGATAAGATTTATATAAACATATAATAAAGAAAAGATAAACCTGGTTAAATTTGACTAAATGAAATGGAAACAAAATATAGGCTTATAAAATATGTTATATGTCTATTTTCAAAAATAAGCGTTTAAAGTACGTGTACTATAATTAGAGAAACTATATTTTAAAGCAAACGCTGAATTTTAAGCACAATACCGCCGTCTATAACATGCAAAAAAACTATTACAGAGTAAAGCGCATTTGTTCTAATGTAAGTTCAACCTCTATGGTATCAGAAATTAAGGAATAAGTGGCATAAACGTACGTAAATGATATATGTAATCGTGCGAGTATTTTTTTTATAACAGATGTTTAATATTACACAAAATAATTCATCAAGTTTAAAAAAAAATGTTGCGACGTGTTTCATACTTTGCTATGTATAGCTTATTTTTTATTTTTTATTGATTAAATCGATTATTTACTAGTTTTGGAAAGTTAATGTAACTTGCCTTAAGGCAAAATGCCAGTAACGCTTAGTTTTGTTCATAAAAAGACAAATTAAAAACATTCCTACTGAAAAATATTGTAGTAACGCTTACCATGCGCATCCAAGCCTAAGCAAAAATGTATGAGAAAGCGTCGTGTTAGGTTCGGCCGACATGGCAAGCACTCGTGATTATTTAAGAATATAAATTATTAATCAAACTTAACTAGTTTGTATTTATGATCGCAATTTTAAATTTCACCAAGTGTCAATTGTTATTGACTAATTTAATTTTTTATAGCAATAAAGCAAAAAAAGTTATTTGGCGGACCCTATATTGGGCCCAAGGCAAAATGCCACTTATATCTAGTTTAATATTATATTCCAACAATCATAAATTATTATATATTTATAATATTTATAAATATTATTATATATATAAAATTCTTCTGTAATGATGTATGTAAATATACTCTTACTAAACGATTATACGGATTTTGATAAATCTTTATGAAGATTGTTAAGAAATTTTTTTAGGATGTATGTGATTACAAAAATATAGTAATATTGTAGAAATAAATGGAAAAATCGCAAAAAACGTCATTTTATTGTCATTGTTTGACATTGAAAATGTTTGATACATTGTTTGGCATTGAAAACAAATGAAAACAGTCGTTTGCCAAAAATTTCAATTTTATGAGCCTAGATAGACAATATTAGAATATGTATAATAAATTCATGATTATGAATAAGAAAAATAAAATGTCTACATTATTAATGCCAAAAAGAAGCTGAGATGTGCCAGGAATTAAAATAATATAAGATACAGCAGATATATGGCAGATTGAATGATACACATATGAACCAGATTTGACAAATTAATTCACTTAAAATATGAAATTAAGTGATAATCAGGGCCGGTCCTGCCTTAAATGCGACGCATGTGAAAAATGCGAGCGCATGCCTTAGGAGGCGCCAACACAAGATTTAAGAAACATATAATTTCCTTGCATCTAGTGAGTAAAAAAATCTTTTACTTGTCTATTATTTTTCAGTACAAACGTGAAACGTACCTGGGTAGGCGAATTGAGCACTAAGGGTGAAAATTCAGGGTCGATGCTGGTCAAATACAACACTTTGCCAGTTTCTTTGGACACCTCGTATTCAGTTTTGGACACCGACTATGATACTTATGCAGTTGTGTACAATTGTAATCCTGTGGGGCCTATTCATACACGTGAGTAGAATTTAATATATATTTATATCCAAAAGCCCCGTTAAGACGATTTTCCAGGAACCAGACTAGAAACGCATCTTATGCTAGAAAGCGCATTATAATAGAGATAGAGACAATATCTTTCAAAGTGCAGGAAGCAGCGTATTAAGCGCAAAATCGTGTCCGTGCGATCGTCTTAACGAGATCTTAACAATGCAATCTCACTTATCTGCGATAGTCCAAAATGATCAGGAAGCCTGGACACTTAATAAGGTCAAAATAAATAATATAGTATATCCTGGTATGCCCTTATCCGTCATGGCTGCAACAATAAAAATGAATTACAGAAAATGTAATAATAAATTTGTTCTATTTATATCGTTTGGGTTGCCAATTTTTTAAATTAATGATAATTTAATATATATTTAAATCCAGTAAAACCCCGTTAAGACGATTTTTCAGGAACCAGACTAGAACAAATCTTATGCTAGAAAACGTATTATAATAGGGATAGAGACAATATGTTCCAAAGTGCAGAAAGCAGTGTATTAAGCGGAAAATCGTGTCCGTGCGATCGTTTTAACGAGGTTCTTAACAATGCAATCGTTCCTATCTGAGATAGTCCAAAATGATCAGAAGGTCTGGTACTTAATAAGATCAAAATAATAATCTACTATATCCTGATATGCTCTTATCCGTCATGGCTGCAACAATAAAAAATGAATTACAGAAAGTGTAATAATAAATTCTTCTATTTTATAATCGTTTGGGTTGCCAATTTTTTAATTAATGATAATTTAATATATTTATTATATTCAGTAAGACGATTTTCCAGGAACCAGACTAGAAACGCATCTTATGCTAAAAAACGTATTAAAAATAGAGATAAAATGTTTCGAAGTTCAGGAACACGTGTATTAAGCAAAAAATCGTGCCCGTGCGATCGTCTTAACGAGGTTCTTAATATTAAATGTTTCCAAAGAAATTATTATGAATACTGTAACTTTCATTATTCTTATTAGAACAAATATAAGATCTTATGTATTATTTTTTTTTTGTAAATTAAAAATAAAAATTGAAAAAAAAACTTTCACCAACGCTCTTCCGATGCATTTGCACAGATTTACTCCCTAGTCGCGTCTAAAGAAGTTTTACTTCAAAAAATGCTTTGACGTGTTTCATATTTTGCCCAATAGCTATTTTTTTAAATTTTTATTGATCAAGTCAATTATTTACTCGTATCGAAAAGTTGACGCCTTAAGGCAAAATGCTAGTAACACCTAGTGTGTTCATAAAAATGTAGTTTGAATCATTCAAGTCAGATGCTTAGTTCTCTAAAAAATTGCCATTTTATGTACATTCATCTCTGTATCTTCGAAATGCATGCATGTCTTCTTATCAATAGGAATCGAATTGTTTTTTGAATTATTCAATTCGGTTGAACCGTGTTTCCGAAATCGTCGATAAAAATTTGTATCCGAACACACACACACATATACAATCATTTTTACTTAAGTATGGCATAACGTAACATGGATGCATATTGCATTATAATAGCATTTATGGCATAACCCCTGCCAATTCTCGAAAAACATAGAAATATTATGGCATTAAGGGTCTGTCTTCGTATGAATCGGTGGTAACGAACTGTATGTATTTTGCTGTGCGATCCGACGTTTTATACATAGAGCCTAACTTCACGTATGTGTTATCGAGGGCACATAACAAAAAAATTTGTACAGGTTTTTCTCTTTTTCTCATTACGTAATGTCTTTTGTCTCACTCACCTATTGTTAGCAAACCGCAACCTAAGAAGTTTTACTTCAGTAATAATGATAATAGGCCATGGACCTTATACTACATGGACTGCAAGTCGAGCGCATAGTAAGTGCTCAAACATAGAACGGACTGTAACGTCACATGTCTGAGCGAACATAGCCGACGACAATCGCGGACTCTCCCGATTGATTAAATGTCATATGCCATATGTTTTATTAACTTCCCGTAGGGTAAGTTATTGTAATGGACCAACAATCGGAATTGAAAATTTTTACATTTCTCGACGTTTTGAAGGTTTCTGAACATTTTGGCATACTTCAGAAAAAATGGATGTGTGTGTGTGTATGTATGTATGGACACAATTTTTCGTCCACGTTTTCGGGCGTACGGATCAACTGATTTGAATGGTTCAAAAAACATTCGATTCCTATTGATAAGGAGATGTGCTGATTAGTTTTTGGCAAAGGCAGGTCCAGCAGTTACGGAGATAAAGAGCAAAGAGTGTAGAAAATAGAAATTGTGTTTTTGAGAGAACGGAGCATCCGATTTGAATGATCTAAAAAACATTCAATTAGTAATAATTGGGAGAAGTGGTTATTAGTTTTTCGCAAAGGCAGGCCCAGCCATTTCGAAGATACGGAGCTAAATATACAAAAAATGGCAGTTTTTAAGAGAACTAAGCGTCCGATTTAATTGATTCAAAGAACTTTCTGCTTGTCTTGACAAAATAATTGATTTTAGATAAAAAATATTTTTGTTTCAACTTTTTTTTTTAATTTTTTGTATATAGAAAATAATTCAGATTTTATTTTTGATTCTGACTATAGTTCTAATATACTTTAAACAAATAATTTCAACTTTGCAATTCAGTTTATATAATTCTTATAAATATTAGATAATGTTACAATATTAATAATAATCTATTTGAAAACATTTAATATTCCTCGAACATTTCGTTACGGTACGGGAAGTTCCAGCAATTTGCCTTAAGGCACGATGCCACCCACCCGAGTTTTAATAATATAATGGCAATTGTCATGACTGATGATTTTGTAAGAAATGATATTAATAATATTTAATAATATTTATCGTAATAGTTAATTTAACTCAAATATTATCTGTGATAGTTTTATTTCAATAATATAATGGCAATTGTGATAACTGAAAATTTTGTAAGAAATGATACTAATAATATTTCCCCTGTGAAATAAATATACAGAAAATCGAATCGACCTGTTAAAATCGGTTTATATATAATAAGGCCTATGTTAGGCATGTAACATATGACATATGACATTTAATCAATCGGGAGAGTCCGCGATTGTCGTCGGCAACGTTCGCTCAGCAAGTCACGTCATAGTCCCTTCTATGTTAGAGCACTATATACAACGGAAAACATGCAGACTAGCAATCCATGTAGTGTAAGATCTATTTAATTGGCTCATAACTCCAACTATTTATTTTATTATTTATTTCAGAGAGTTGTTGGGTATTAACAAGAGAGCGCAACCCTCCATCAGCAGTTCTTCAAAGGGCCTACGGAATTTTGGACAAGTACAAGATTTCGAGAACTTTCTTCGTGAAGACCAATCAACAAGATTGCGAATGAGTCCAAGATTAATTTATTTATACTTATTTATAATAAAAAAATATGATGGATAATAATTTATTAATAATATTACGAAAGAAAAGATTTTTGAAATAAAATTTTAATTTATAATTTGTTTTTATTTCGTTAATTGAACCCCAGAAAGCGTTATCGCCGCTGGGTTAAGTCTTCGCTATAAAAGATTATAAACTAAAACAGTGAAAATTAATAGAAAACTAGTGGTGTATGAGATCGTGCCTTAAGGGAAATTGCTTGAACTTCCCATACTATAATAAAATATTCGAAGAATAAAATATAGTTAAAAAAATATTTTTTGGAAATTAAAAAAAATCTTGCCCGCAAATCAATCGTTTCGTCAACACTTACAACGATGCTTAGTTCTCTCAATAACTGCAATTTTTTGCATATTTAGCTCCAAATCTCTGAAAAGGCTAGACCTGCCTTTGTTAAAATTTATTCACCACTTCTCCCCATCATTACGAATTGAATGTTTTTTGAATCGTTCAAATCGAATGCACCGTTCTCTCAAAATCTTTATTTTCTGCGCACTTTGCTCCGTACCACCGAAACAACTGGACCTGCCTTGTCCAAAAACTAATCGAATGGTTTTTAACTTCCCGTGGGGTAAGTTATAGTAATCGCAAAAAATCGAGAATAAAAATTTGTATATAAATTTATACCTTTCAAAGGTTTCCGAACATGTTGGCATACCTTAAAAAAAGGATGTATGTGTGTGCGGATACAAATTTTCGTCGATTATTTCGGGAAAACGATTCAAACGATTTGAATCATTCAAAATTGATAAGGAGACGTGCTTATTAGTTTTTGGCAAAGGCAGATTTGCCGTTACAAAGATACGGAGCAAAAAGTGCCTAAAACGGTAACTCAGTTTTTAAGAGAACGAAGAGTCCGATTTGAATAATTCAAAGAACATCTTACTTGTATTGACAAGATAAATATCCGATTAAATTTTTGGGAAGGCAGGTCTAGCAGTTTCGAAGATCTAGTAAAAAAAAAAGTAAAAAACAAAGCTATTTGGCGGTCAAAAATGATCATTAGACATAGGCACATCAAATTATCAGATACTTTATAGAGATTTTAATAATATGTATCAATGTTGTTTACATTACTATGGGTTCCGTAACATCGTTTGTCCGTTGGACGGCGACGCGTCGCTTACGCGCTTCGATATTTCGTCTTTATGCAGTTGAAGCAGTGCGATTGATTTGAAAAAAGTAAAAAAAATCCAAAATATTTCAAAATAAAAAACGTCAAAAATTTGAAATTTTTCAAGAATCTAAAAAAATGTAATCTTTTACAGCAATTTGCCTTAAGGCCCTTTACACCACTAGTTGAATCAGTCAAATCGGTTAAACCGTGTTTCCGAAATAGTTGACAAAAATTTGTATCCGAACACACACACACACGTCCATTTTTTCTGAATAATTCAAAACAGTAAAAATTAGTAAAGATATAGAAAACGTTTTCATTTTCGTTTTTTTCTAAATTACTATAACCTACCCTACTGGAAAGTAAAAAATAGAAATAACTAAAAAAGGAAAATAAGGTAAAATAAAATAAAGGCCGCACTATGAAATTAAATATTACATTATATTTTAATAAGGTTCTAGTGACACACTCTGGTTGATTTCTTTGCGCTATTTATTTTTTTGCTACAAAACTGAACATTTTGCAAAAACCAATCGATTTTAAAATCACATCATATATTGTCTCTGATAAAGGTTTGAAAGGTGTTAGTGTATAATCAATCTTACAGGTAATTAACTCCGTGAATACCCTATTTTTATTTAAAAAAAAAGTATAATTTTCTAATATTTCGTTATATAATCCACTCATTTATTTTTATTATGATGATATTGTCATGTTTTATATAATGTAATCTCTTCCACAAATTTATTCAATTTATAAATATCCACCATTTTCTATTTTTCTTAAATATATTGTTTTTCTAAATCTTATGAAGATCATGCTTACAGAATTCAATTTCAAACTCATTTAAAGTTTGAAAAAATGTTATTCAAATAGTTTAGTATCATAAATTACTTGTAAAGAATTAATAATCTATAATACAGTAATATGAATTAACGATAGTAATGTTGATACATACATAACTAAAATTTATAATGGAATTGTCTGAAAATTTTTTATACCAATTTTGCATATATAAAATCAGTAAATTTTGAATGTATTACTAAAAAATATATATATATATATATATATATATATATATATATATGATAAAATTGTTTCTTGGGCATTCATCCAGTAATTAAAACCAGTTTTATTGAAGGGAAATGTTTTTATTCAGAGAACATACGTTTCGGGTCTTGATTTGACCCATCTTCAGTGCATACAAATAAATATGAAACAAAAAATTGATAAAACGTTGAGTTTTGATAAATTTTAAAAAATTGTAAAATTAAAATAAATAATACATTTTATTATAAAAAAGCCCATTCCAAACGATCATGTTGTCAGCTTGGAGTATGTATACATACTCCGATTATGTGACCATTGTCCCAATTGGTAAAATCCTTCCAACTCCTATCCAAACCGGGTGCCTTGGTTTGAGCAATAGATGATAATTTGAACTACTGGTTGTAGTATTGTCTCTTCGAATCCGTGAGTACCTCAATTTAGGTATTAGCTGAAACATGATTGTTCTACCATACTGATTCAATGAAAAGTCCAACTTGAGTAACTTTTCAGTTCATTCTTTTTTCTTGTTAATTTATACAGACAGACAAATCTCTGCTTATTCTATCACAGGACTACTCTGAGGCAACATCTTGTTACTTTGATGTTACTCTCTGATTCCCTAAATCAACATCTTGTTACCCTGATGATATTATTCCCTGACTCTTTGATTTGTTTGGGCGATTTATACTGTATTTACCAAAAATTGTATAATCAATTACAGCATTTTTACAAGAATTAATAATACAGAATTGTTTTTTTATTTGTATCTATTAAAACTAAGACCAAATTTGTATTGAAATATATTGAATATTTATTAAAATTAATTTGGTTGGGATATAAGTTTCAATTCTGGTCCAGAGATGGGTCAAATCCACACTTCTGGTCTGGTGCTCTGCCTTGTATATTGCCAATAGATTTTGTGACCACTGGTAGATCCGTTGTCCCAATTGGTAAAATCCTTCCAACTCCTATCGTAACCAGGTGCCTTGATTTGAGCAATAGATGATAATTTGAATTACTGGTTATAGTATTGACTCTTCAGATCCATGAGGACTTCATTTTTGGGTATTAGCTGAAAGATGATTGTTCTAATAATCAATTACAGCATTTTAACAAAAATTAATAGCACATTGCTTCTTTATTGTGTCTATTAAGACTAAGATCCAATGGTGATTATGCTATATATTGAAATAAAATGAATTTGCTTGGGATTTATGTTTGTGTTCTGCTCCAGAGATGGACCAATCCACACTCCTGATCTGGTCATCTGCCTCATATATTGTCAATAGAATGATTATGTGATCATTGTCCCAATTGGTAAAATCCTACCAACTCCTATCGAAACCAGGTGTCTTGGTTCGAGCAGTAGATTTAAATTTGAATTACTGGTTATAGTATTGTCTCTTCGGATCCGTGAGTACTTCAATTTAGTTCTTAGCTGAAACATGATTGTTATACCATACTCATTCAATGAAAAATCCAACTTGAGTTACTTTACAGTTTGTTCTTCTTTTCTTATTACAAATTTACAGGACAGAATCTCTGCTTATTATATCATGGGGCAACTATGAAACTACATCTGGTTACTTTGATGTTAATCTCTGACTCTCTGAAACAAAATCTTGTTACTCTGATGTTACTCTCTGACTCTCTGATTTGTATGGACGATTTATACTGTATTTACCAAAAATTGTATAATCAATTACAGCATTTTTACAAGAATTAATAACACAGAATTGTTTTTTTATTTGTATCTATTAAAACCAAGACCCAATTTATATTAAAATATATTGAACATTTATTAAAATTAATTTGATTGGGATACAAGTTTCAATTCTGGTCCAGAGATGGGTCAATCCACACTCCTGGTCTGGTCCTCTGCCTTGTATATTGCAAATAGATTATGTGACCACTGGTAGGTCCGTTGTCCCAATTGGTAAAATCCTTCCAACTCCTATCGAAACCAGGTATTGTCTCTTCAGAGACTTCAATTTAGGTATAAGCTGACAATAATTGTTCTACCATACTGATTGAATGATAAGTCCAACTTGAATTTAATAATTCAATTGATGCTAAGTAAGAGTCAATGATTATATCAGCCAACTACTCAATTCTATACAAAGTTAAAAGTTTGCTCGATTTATTGGCCTATTTAATCAAATATTGAAAAACAGTTATTCCTATTATAAGAGAATGGTCTGAAAAGTGTTTTTTTTTTTTGAATTCATTTATTTATATTTTTGCTTTTTTTTACATCTCCCAGTGATGGTGTCATCTCAGTAACCCATCCATATAGCACTTGTTTGACCATTATCCTTGTTTGACAAAAATCTGTCCTCCCAGGGCTGTTTTTAGATGAATAAGTAGAAGATGCTTGGGTCCAGATCTGGTGAGTAAGATGGATGGTCAAGCAGTTTCAACCATAACTGGTAGATTTTTGCCATGGCAAAGACAATGGTATGTTATCTTGTTGGAACAAGATTCTCTTTTCCTGCAAATGTCATAATTTAGATTTTATGGTGAGATATTTTCCATAAACTCTGTCAGTCATTATTTTCTATTTTCACTAGGTTCCATACTATAAGTCAATTCAGTGTTATTTAATAAAGAACATGCATTTGTGGTTATGAAGAGTCCACAACTATGATCATCGGTTGAGGGAAACTACCATTATCGGTTGAGGGAAAGTTATCTCATGAAAATTCCACTGAAATTTTTCTTTGTTAGTTAAACAGCTTTCACCAAAAATTGTATAAACAATTACAGCCTTTTTACAAGAC